CGGCTAACTTGCCCCTGCCTGTTATTTGAACAAACATAACAAATATAACTTGAATTGTCCTTCCTAGACATGCAAATGAAGTTACTTCACCTTCCGGATCAAAAGCAAACTTTCATACCTTCCGTAACGTTAATTAAAAGAGCGCAAATTTCTTTTTTTTTTTAATTCTCTTTTAATATAATTAACAAGCGGGGTGCATACTTCCATTTATGAAATTGAATGGGGTTTTTCCATCTTCTTTTTACAGGGTTTAATTTAGTGCATGAAAACCTGAAATTTCCGCTTTATGTATTTTTCCATCGCCTTACCCAGATACATTGTGTATGATGGTACAACAATTAATATCATCTACGCAATTGTGTTCATCGTGGATCTCATCAATGTTAAAAGTGCGTCCTTTTACGTTGATCCTCTGGCCCTTTTCTCGCAGGCAATGAATTGACAATAGGTCGCATTAGGGCGTTAAAAGCCAAAAGGAGCAAGTTAATAATTAATCAACTGGGAAAGGGTTTCTAAGGAACGGCCACTTGGCCCAGGTCCAAAGCTTTCTTCTCTTAATCAGCACTATCAAGATCCTTTCCATTTCAAATGAAATAGAAGAAGAACTCAAAGCCGTCATTAGCGACAAATCTCCGAATACAAAGAAGAACGGGTCTAAAGGGGGACAATTTATGCGACTGCTTTCTGAGCTTTAACGCTAAAGGACTTTACAATTTAATCTGGTTTAAACATCAGAATGTAAATATCAGGAACTTCTTTTTTTCTCGCTTAAACTGTACAAATTGCAACTGATGTACCTAAACATTTTTTTTTTTTTTTGTTAACGAACTATTTCATAAACTACCAGCTTAGTTTGTTGACGGAGTGCCTTGTTCTACCCAAGGTATTACGCTCGTAAATTTAAATTAAAACCGCAAACACTCCTCCAATTAGTCGAAAGGTGGATTAGTTTCATTGAAAATCAAGTATCTACGGGAAACTTAGCAACGGAATTGAAATCCAATTTTCCATCGCAATAGTTGAAATTCTATTAAAACTTTAGACAAAAATTGTCAAGCATATTATTACAGTTTAGAATTGTAGGGTAATGTTAAAAACACAACTATTTCTTTCAGAATCGCGATGATTCTCGTTATATGAGACGATTTTGATTTTCAATCATGAGCAGAAATTAAATTCAAGGATGTTGGTTCATATAAATCTTTATTTATTAACGGTGACTGGGTTTGTCAATAAAATTTCATAACGTGGAGATTATTCATATTATTAATATACGAAACGTTTTATTGCGTCCATTTTTCCTGGTATTAAATATAATTTCATAAGGAAAAAATGTTTAAAAAGGATCCCACTTACCATAACAAAATTATTAAGGATTAAATCGACAACGGCTTCATTTTCTAAGAAATTGGCCAATTTTTGCTACCATTATCACTGAAACCTCGTTGGCTAAATTTAATGAAATTTGATGTACTTATTGTTTAATTAACATATGTTCTTGGGCTGGATTTTATCGGGTGACCATTTTCGCTTTAAAACGTGCATAGAGATTGGCTTAACCCAATTAGGTATGGTTAAGGTGTTAGGGTTAGGTTTGTGCTAAGGTTAGGTTAGGTTTTTGGAAAGTTGTCCTTCTGCCAGTACACCCTGGCAGAAGGGATGTTATTTTTCTACCAGATCTGGTTAAGATAAATGTGTGGTGTTTAGTGACCGTTAATTAATTTGAAGATCGTGAGATGCGGTCTGATGTGACGTAGGTTTAGAAAAACATTTTCTTTATCGTGCCAATGTTTCGATCTTTATTGAGATCATCTTCAGACCTCAAAGTGTTTGTTTTCTGTGTAGATGCGTCGTCATTGTGTGATGTGTTGAAAATCAACTCAACATCAAGACTCACACGACACACAATTACGACACATCTACACAGAAAATAAACACTTTGAGCCCTGAAGATGATCTCAATAAAGATCGAAACGTTGGCACGATAAAGAAAATGTTTTTTCTAAACTACGTCACAAGACAGCATCTCACGATCTCCAAATAATAATAATCTTAATTTTTTTCTTGTTTGTTCATACAATAGTAACAGGTTTTGAATTAATTATTAAACCAAGTATAATTATTTTATGAGTTTAAAATCAATAGAGTTTATAAATTGGAAAACCTCTGTTTGATAAATGTGCCCAATAAACGTCGTGGTTTTCCAATAGGTCGGGTAGTACCCGAGGAAAAGCATCACATTGAACAAGTAGTACTACACCTTTGTTAGGTAAGTTTCTTAGCACTAGATTTGGAGATTCCATCCAGACCGGGTGATTTTCTGTTTTCCCGGGGGTTTGTGGCTTGCTTTACCCTCTTGGGTATTACTATTTTACAGAGGAGTCGTTAAGGGAGTGGGTTATGGTGCGCAACTAGTTCTTTCCTCTTAGGCGGGCCGTAGACCTACAATAATATTGCACAATAAAAGTACTGTGCAATAGTATTGAATGACAACTTGATCCAAATTTATCAATAATATTGACGTCAATGTTTTCGCTTGAACAAGACCTAGTTTTGTCAGGCCAAGATTTGGATGCAGGTATCGTATTTGTGCTTAAATTTATACATCGAAAATGCCGCTGATCGAAAGAGTGGTTTAGGAAAAGGTAAAAAAATCAGTATGTAAATGCAATGGAAGATTAATTCCCTTTCTTTGTCGGTTTTACTGCCATTTTGTCTGTACAAACGCGCGAGATGTCCTCGTCCTTCGAACGCTAGACCTAGACTAAAAATATTGCGCAATTTTAACCCAGTACGTTGAAAAAATATTGTGCAATAAAAATAAAACTTTTGTTCATTCATTGCGCAAATTTCAATAATGAACGGTGGAAAATATTGCGCAGTTCGTAACATTGTGCAATATAATTGATCGTGTAGGGCCCGCCTTAAACATTCTTTCCAGGACATTTCCTCCTCCATGTAAAATGTATCGAATATGACAAGCCTGCCGTTTACAGTTTTGTAATATGTTTTCTTTTTAAAATCAACCAGCCGAGTAACACAAAATGTACAAGAAATTAAATGGCTAGATCGGATAAAATATGGATTAAACGAATCATGATTCTGGAAGACAGAACATACTCGTGTAGTCGCTGGGGACGGATTGAAGTTTAATCAGACAAAATACTTTAAAAGCGTATTATATTTTATTAGTTATCTCTTCCGGAATGTAAGCATGTAATTATTTTAGATATACTGAAAACGAGAGAATTTACGGTTAATTATACGGTTAATTAATGAATACATAAGAGAAAAGTCAAGTTGGACTGTTCACCAGTCAAGTGGAAGAAACTGGTGAAACTTCAACATCGGTGTTCACATCTCCGAGGATAAAAGCAGATTTACACACTACTGACTAGACCAGTGAGTTGGAGCCCCGTTTTGAGGAATCCAGTCGCAAATTCACCTTTCATTCCCCTTGTTAATGTTATATGACACATGCGAATTATCGTTTCATGAGAATGCCCGGGCCTTCTAACTCACCACAGGCTCCTTCTCTATTATTACTAACCGAAACCCAGGCCGGGGCATTGTTTCGTTTATTTAAAAACTCGAAGGGGTCCCAACCGGGAAAAACGAGCATTACTCAGTGGACACAGAAGATGAATTCTTAAACTGGGCGTGTTTGTAGGTCTGCAGGACTCGCGGCAAACAACTGGTCTTTCAATGTAGCTTCTCTTTAAATGATTTCATAAAGAAAGACGTGATTTTTAATTTTAGAAAATAGATAAAAATTCCCCGAAGTATGTCTTTCAATTTGGCTTTAATGGAAAGGAAAATTGTATATTTTGTTAATTAAGGTTTTAAGTTGAGACAAAAAAGTCAGTGTCACAAGCGGGATTCGAACCCACGACCTTCGGCTTGATACGCCGCTACTCTACTACTTGAGCTATCCTCTCGGGCACTAACTTCCCATCTCAACCCCACCTTTTGAATTTTCAGAACTTCAGACTTTTTGAAAAATGTTAAAAAGGAGGGAATATTCAAAAGGTGGGGTTGAGATGGGAAGTTAGTGCCCGAGAGGATTGATGTCACGATAGCTCAAGCGGTAGAGTAGCGGCGTATCAAGCCGAAGGTCGTGGGTTCGAATCCCGCTCGTGACACTGGCTTTTTTTATCTCAACTAAAAACCTTAATTAATTGAAATATATTAATTGGTCATGCGGACAACGAAAATTAGTGAACTATGGTTTGCTTTAATCAAACGTTTTATTTAAAAATTCAAAAACAGAGAATGTATATATTTTACGATATGATTGAAAAAGAATAAAACCCACCTTAAAAGTTGGTAAATTACAAATTAGCCAAAAAATAGAAAATAGCGTTTTTAATTTTTTTCTTCAAATCTAATATTATAATGAGAGTTGCTTACGTTTTCATAAAAACTGATACAAATCAAGAACTTATCTCATCATCGGTTCGAATCCCGCTCGTGACAATGACTTTTTTTATCTCAACTTAAAACCTTAATTAATTGAATGTTATTAATTGGTCAAGCGGACCACGAAAAATAGTGAATTTATATTTTGTTATGACAATGCAAATACAGAAAAAAAAATTGACAGACCAGTAGAGCTAGGATCAAAAACGACCACACTACAAAATTGATAAGTTAATAAATTTCATTTAATCATTAACTAAACATTTTTGACACGCTCACTACTCAAAGCCCAAGAAGACCAAAGAACGTCCAAAACAAAAAGATATGCTTAAGCAAAATTATCAAATTATCACTTTTATCATATGATTAATAACAAAATTGTTTGCATAATTACACAGGTAAGCATACGTAACATCTTGAACCATTGAAAATTGAAAGAGAATTAAGTCAAAATTCAAAAGCGTTTATTCGTCTTTCTAAACTTTGGTTCTATGTATAATATAATTGGAGATTTTCTTAAATCTTAATGAACTTTTTTTTTCTTTTTTTCCATCCTTATAGTTCATTTTCTTATGTTAAAGGACTGGGATGGGGACAGAGCAGTCATGGACAGCCTGCTGCTGGTTCACCGAGCACGCCCGGTCCTGGCAGTGGTATCCGAAGAGGAAGAGGCTGGAGAGACTGGCACAGGACTGACCCGACCCTCTTTAACGGTCTTTGGAAGAGTAAAACGCCACTCGGTAACTAAGAATTATGTTCTAAGGTTTTTTTTATATATAATAAATAATATTAAATTCACTAGTTTCATGGTCCGCTTGACCAATTAATATCTTACAATTAATTAAGGTTTTCAGTTGAGATAAAAAAGTCAATGGCACAAGCGGGATTCGAACCCACGATCTTCGGCTTGATACGCCGCTGCTCTACCACGAGCTATCGTGACCTCGATGAAAAATGGCAAAAAGGAGGTTAAATTCAAAAGGTGTGGTTGAGATGGGAAGTTGGTGTCCGAGTGGATCGAGGTCACGATAGATCAAGTGGTAGAGCAGCGGCGTATCAAGCCGAAGATCGTGGGTTCGAATCCCGCTCGTGACACTGGCTTTTTTATCTCAACTAAAAACCTTAATTAATTGTTGTATAATAAATAGTGCTGACTCGGAATTTTCCTAGAAATCATACTGCTATGTCCAAGTTGTCCATATTGCAAAGCTTCATTCTGTATTGAATTCAAATAAAAACTCAGGAATGTTTTAATTGAACCATTTTCCCCTAAACCAAGCCATTTTGCACAATTTCTAATTATTCCTAAACATCTAATTTTAAAACCATTATTGAAAATTTTAATTAAATTGTCAGAGTTCGGAATAATTCTTATAATATGGCCATTTTATGTGGTAGCCTGTGCCATCTGTGTAATATACCACAATGTTCACATGTAAGAAAGACTTTTAAAATAATTATAATTTGTTAACAGGCAACGCAGAGCTTTATGTGGTGTTGGCACTTCTCATCGGTTTTGTGACCGTCGTCATCGGTTGTTGGCTGTCCGACAACTGTTGGTCACCCGAACCAGAGCTGATGACACTCGCGTAGCATCACCAACCGAGGGCTCGTAGAGTCCTGAGGGCCAAAACCAAGCACCGTTACCTCCCCATTCTCTACAATGCTGGTGGCACCAGGCAAATCTAGATTCATCTAACCTGCAATTGAGAAATTATCCTCACCTCTACACTCGTTAATATATTTCTCTATCTATTAACTATATTTCTCTCTTGCTCCTCGGTGTTTTTCACTTCACTTTCTAGGTGTTTCCTTAGAAAAGTAAATTAATTAAAAAATATTTTTTAAAAATGTAAAAACAAAAAAAAGAGATGTTGAACATAACCAAGGAATCAACTACAGAAAACTGCCTGAGTTTTAAAAGAGCTTAGCCACACTCCAACTTAATACTCATGAGAAAAAAAAAGTTTTTGCAAATATTGGGGAGGATGGAACCAACTTTTGTTTCAACAAATGGAATTTCATACAATAAAAATCAGACTGAGAAATTCTAAATTGGCTGGTTATGGAACCAAAAATAAAAACAGTTGTAATTAACCAGAAATACAACGACTTTACTTTTAAAAATTGTATCGGTTTCTTTATAACGACATTTTTAAGTAAATTCTATGTTAGAAAATTGTTATTTTTATTTGTGTTTGTATAAAATGGATTCTAACAGAACTTCCATTATTCAACTGAATTGTGTGAACTTGTCTCGTGTAGCTTAACAAAAATGCTCATAATAATGATAATTATGATTGTACAAAGTTAATTAAATCCTGGCCTAGATAAACATGCCTTAGTAATAATTGTAGTCGAGTAGATAATATAATGAAGACTACTTGGATATGTACGTTAAACTTTTACCATGAACTCTTAAATCCAAGGGAAAGTTTAGAAATAAATAATTTCTTTTAATTAAATCATTGTTTTTTTAACATCTGTTGTACAACAGGTGCATTTCTTTTTCCATTTTTATAAAGAATAAAACATTAAGGAATCCATTTCAATTGTGTTTTTTAATCGACAGGACTAGACTTAGAAAACATAAGTATGACTGATTAAAATCTTTGTCGAATAAATACATATGTTGGAAAGGTGCTACTGTAATGTATAAATATATTAATACAATTAAAAAGACCAATTTTTTAGGAATCCACTGTAAAAATTAACAATAGTTACGATTCAGTTATTATATTTTTCAAAAAAATTACTAATAACTATGTGACAGAACTACTTGGATTGAGGCAGGTATCTGTAACAAAAAAGAAAAAGAAAAAACGTAACTAACAACACTGTACTAAAAAATTGATGTGTTATTTAGCTCAATTGAAAAAAAAAATTAGTGTGTGTGTGTGTGTGTTTATTTTATCTCACCTTAATATTGATAAAGACCAATTTACAACTTTTGTGCACTTTTCTAAATAATGGTCTGTAGAGCACGTGATGTATATGTTTATTGATTTACCTAGGTGAGCTTATTAATAGATGTGTAAATTGCCTACCGATGTACATGATTATTTATCACTGCAGTGTAAATGAAAAAGGGTGTATGATTGAATCAGCCTGAAATATAAATTTTATAATCTACAAGTTTATTTTTTTATTGAGGCCTTTTCAGATAGTTCACAATTCAAGTTCCGGAAGGTATTTAAAATACCATTCGCCTATACTTCATTCAATACTAAACTGCTCAAAAATGAAATAGGGATATTTGTAATTTATTCTTATTCTATTCATTTTAATTAAATTAACCGATATATTCTTGTAAGTTGAATAAAACGAAATAGAAAATACAAACCAAAAACAAATACCTCATTTTTAATTACGGATTTACTTAAGAATAGTAAACATGAAGATTATTCATTTTGTAAACGAACACCTTTTCTAATCTTTTCTCCATTTTAATCCAATTTTAACCATTTAGACATCATCTTGAAACTGAACTTTGCAATATTTTTGTGAGAATGAGTCATCGAGGTCACTGGCAAGTGAATATCACAGAGGCAGTTGGTGTTTCTCAATTAGCCTCAAAGGCTTTAGCCTGATTCCGTGAGACTGGAAGTGCCAATAGGAGGCCTGATAGTGGATCTCAAGGGAGGACAGAAATATTGTCATTGCTGCAAGACCTTTCCATAGTGCCTGCCAGATCCTACATGAAATGCACAATACTTTGGCAAGGCAATCAATACAAATGATTCCTAATTGTTTGAGGGAAGTTGACTTAACATCATATGCCCCTTTAAGATGACATGCAGCAACACGTCAGCCCGCCACAAGCAATTCAGGATAATATGGTGCAAGGAACACCTAGAATAACAGAAATTGAAATGCTGTTATGATTACTGAGGAGTCGCATTTATGTCTTTTTAGTGATAGCAGGTGCTGAAGAGTTTACCTATAACAGTGGATGCATACAATACCCCAGTTCGTCTCCCTTCAGTGAAGTTTGGTCTGGGCTGGGATTTACACTGGAGGACTAACTGGACTCCATATTGTTGTCCTCACCATAGTTCGTTATGTCGAGTAATATATCCCTCAAACCAGGGATCTCATTGGCAGGGATTTTCAATTTCTGGATGACAATGACAGACCTCATAGAAACAGAGTTGTTCAACAATGTTTAAAAAACCTGGGAATTTCCTATCTGCCTCTCCCCCATTGTCTCCAGACCTCAATCCCATTAAGCACATGTAGGATGCGTTGCAGAGAAAGCTTTTCGATCACCATCCACAACTGAGTGCAGCGTTGCAACATCTACGGAGTGAAATTCCTTATGAAATTAGTGAAAACCTATAACAATATTTTTAAAAACGTGGAGCTTATCTCAAAGGATAAGCTAATCCCCTACCGCAGGCTCGGGCAGTGCGAGCTGAGCAACGAAAGGACGAGGAAGGACTCTCTCAATTTTGCTTGAAGACACCTGCTCTTTTTTATGTAAATGACAAGGAGAGTGCGTATTCATAGATCACATATTTTTACTTTTATTTTTTCAAATCTAAATACATTTATTTTTTTGAAGGCTTTGTTACAATTTATTTGGATCAGGTCCCAATTTTTGTCTTTTCCGTTTAATTTAATTGAGTTTGTGGCACAAATATTTTTTCTTATTTTTATTTTACACTCGCAAGGAAACGAGTTTGCTTCTTGTGAAGGGGATTCACCCTAACACGTAATAAATATTGGTAGCGAGCGATACTTTCACACGTGCCAATAAAAAAGTAATATTATTGAATGTTTTATAATTTAATTATTTATTTACAAATTTAAGAATTATTTCATTAAGAAAATATTTTTTTGTTAGACATTTAAAATATTACCTTGTATTATATTCATTCACTAAAATTTCCATTTATTATTTTTTGTTAGATTAAAAATTAAACAGTTAAAAATTTTACTTTGCATTATATTCATATTGTAAAATTTTCATTTATCATTGGTTGTTAGGGAGTTAAAATTTTATTTTGTATTATATTCATATTTTAAAATTTCCATTCATTTTTTTTTGTATATAGTTTAACTACATTACAATGGGTAAAAATAAAAAGAAATCATTTCACAATTATAAAAGTTGCACAAAATATGAATTTCAAGAAGCTATTAGGCAGAGTACAGTTACCACTTTATTAGATTTTATCACGCAAGAGGCTGAAAAATTTTATGCAGAGGATAATAAAACAGCTTTTTGTGAGGCTATAAGGAACATTGCTCAACAAAAATTTCCTACTTCTTCGGAGGGATTTCAGACTTCGGAACCACCCTCATGTAGCAAATCTATGTTGCCTTCCTCTCCGGACATTCATGAAAAAATTATAGAAGACATCAATCTTACTAACTTAAAAATAGCCTTAAACGAATCATCTTTACAGCCAACAAAAATTTCAAAGATCATTCAGAAATATGAACATTTACAAACGCAAACAAACAAAACAGTAAAGCAATATCGGGAAGTGAGATTCTGGTGTGCCATTGTCTATTGACGGCTCTCGTGACGTCCCTTTTACACTTATTAGTTGTCATTAGTTTTAATACTGAGGAAATTTCGTCAGGTGTCAACTGATTTTTTTATACATCATAGCCGTTAAAATGGACACATGGAAGTTAATCGAGGTCTTCAGGGGCACATTGAATTATGCGCAGAGGGAAGAAGCAGAAGGACAAATCAGCCAGACGAAAAAAATTATTGGTTTTGGACCCACAGTTACAAATGGTAATGGTGTCAGATGTTGACATGCCTGACAAGCCAGAAGCAAAGAAAATAATAGTCCCTGAATCTATGAAATCAACTATTTTCAATTATTACCACAATAGCACATATGGAGCACACCTAGGTTTCAAAAAAAACTCTTGCCAATGTAAAAAAACTTATTAACAGTATGTCTAACAGGTGCACAGAGGTTTTATCTAACAGAGGACATTATACCCAGTATTAATTGGTATAGAAAATTATTATTAAAAATGAAACTAAAACCATTTATTTTGATATTTTTCAAAATCCTTTAATTAAATTTTCCTTCAGTAAAAACAATAATTTCTAATCAATTTTAATGCAATTTATAATAAAAATAAAATAAAAATGCTAGGGAAAGTAAATACTACAAAATTGGCAAAATCCTTAGACATTTCTAAACAGTTTATTTAGCATAGATGTTTATCTTAATTCTTAGATTTTAGATAAAAGGCCCGGCTATACTCACAACAAAAGTGGATTATGTCAAATGATAATGACGTCAAATTATTTCGATTTATCTTAAATCGGATGATAACAAATCTAACAAGATTTAATAGAGAACAGGATTAAACAGTATCTCTAAGTGACAAGTTTAGAATCAAGTATGTTTTTCAAGTTTGTGCTGTCAATTATCGTTTTATTATCCCCTAAGGTACGATATTAATAAGCTTTTATTGCCATAATTGTACATTAAAATCCTTGCCTTTGTAATTGTTTTTTTAACTTGAAGATAGGTTGGAAACATCCAACTTTCACCGGGACTTAGTTATTCATGTATTCTGACCAAAGCCCCAACATTTATCAACTGCAAACCCATAAAGAAAGTAGAATAATCAAATATTTATAGAAAAGTTTGTTGAATTAATACTAACATTAACCAAATATGAGTCAAACTCAAAAGCCATTAGGCGATAGGTTTATTTAACATGTCAAAAAATATATTCTCCTGTATTTATTTGCATGTTCAATTAAAATTAAAACCTATCAACTCTAGAAACAATAGGACAAACTTATGAATCTTGTTTTTAAACAATTTTTATTCAAATTACCACAATGAAACCTAATTTCAACTTACCTTATAGAGGATCTATTTTTTTTCTCTTTGATCCTAAATCAATTAAAATGAACCAGTAATAGCCTAGACAACAAATATCATTGTTTAACTTTTTATTTATAACAAAAATATTATCTTTGTTTAAAAAAATATAGCTTTCCTGGTAATTTTTCAGTTATTATTCTGCAATGGAGACGAGCCCGAACATTCAATCGAAGAGTACAACGAAATGCTGAAAAAAGTGAACGTTACGTTAAACCGAATGTACAAAAACATGGAGAGGCGTGCCCAAGTTGACAAAGACTTCCTCGAAAGCCAACTCGAAGAGTCGATGAACGAGCTCAGGCTCAAGGAGAAGGAGACGGCACCCAGGCGTAAAAGGGAGCTGGTAAAATTACTCGAAAATACATACAGCTTCATGAAGACGGGGTTCGACCAGGCGATGAAAGAGGACACGTACACAGGCGCATATCGAAAAGCAAAGCATGCCAAAGACCATGCGATTTCATCATTCAAAGAGATGTATTCCCGTTATAAGCCATTTTAGGTTGTATTCCTAATAGATGTATGTATTTAAAATGTAAATTGATATATTACATCAACCACCAGATTCTCAAATTGTTTCCCATCATGGAGAAATTAATGTCACACATTGAAACTTTTTGTTTTTAGATTAAAATATGAAACTTATATTTTCTTAAACATAACCTCAGTATTTATTATTATTTTGTATTCATTATAAACTATTTACTTTTAATCTTGAAGTTTTTTTGACCTGCACAAGGGCTATGTGAGAAAAGAAACATTAAAATGGCCCAATCAAGGGGAAAAAATGTGTCCAAGTTTGTTTTTTTGGATTGAAATTTGATCACACTCAGACATCAAGGTTATTTTAGTTTTTTACTTAGATCCTAAAGGGAAAAAGTTAAGTAAAAATTGACATACCCAAAGCATATTTAATAAAATAAAAAATAACAATACAAAACATGGCAAATATTATTAGTTCAGTTAAAAATATATTTTTGTAACTATCGTTTTAGTCACGTTACAGCATAAATAATAAAGTAAAGTAAGTACATCAGTCTTTATGGTAACTATAATAAAATCATTAATTAGAGTATAATTAGTCAACGTCGTCAACGGGAGGGCTTGTATTGCAGTTGGTTCCGGACTGGTGTTTGCCGTGAAGTTTTGTCATAAAAGGCATGCATTCCTTCTGCAATTCTGAGAGTTTGTGTTGGTACTCTTCTTTTTCTGCGAGTGTATTGTTGTCTAACCAATTGACCGCTTCCTGGCATTTGGATTTCACTGTATTTTTATCTGATTCGCTGAGCTTGTCACCACATTCATCTATGGCTTGTTTCACGCCGAATACATAAGACTCAAGTTGGTTGCGAGATGTAATCCTCTCCTGTTGTTTCTCATCCTCGGCTTTGTATTTTTCGGCATCATTTACCATCCTTTCTATTTCTTCCTTTGACAGTCGTCCTTTGTCGTTTTTAATCACTATGTTCTTTGTATTGCCGGAGCTGTTGTCTTTTGCTGAAACGTTGAGGATGCCGTTTGCGTCAAGGTCAAACGTGACCTCGATCTGAGGAACCCCCCTCGGTGCAGGTGGTATGCCGCTTAAATCGAACGTTCCTAAAAGATTGTTGTCTTTGGTCATTGTCCTCTCACCTTCAAATACTTGAATAGTCACTGCAGGTTGGTTATCAGAGTAAGTTGAAAAGATTTTACTCTGTTTACAGGGAATTCTAGCATTCCTTTCGATAATTTTAGCCATTACACCTCCAGCAGTTTCAATGCCCATCGACAATGGAGTGACATCAACTAAAAGAACATCTTGAATCTGTGAGCTCTGGTCACCAGTGAGAATCGCTGCTTGAACAGCAGCTCCGTATGCAACTGCTTCATCAGGATTTATCGACATATTGAGTGTTTTTCCATTAAAGAAATTCTGAAGGAGTGATTGTATCTTTGGAATTCGTGTTGAGCCCCCTACAAGAACAACATCGTGGATTGCTCCTTTGTCCAATTTAGCATCTTGGAGTGCTTTCTCAACAGGCTGAAGAGTGTTTCTAAAAAGATCTGAACAAAGTTCTTCAAATCTGGCCCTGGAGACTTTTGTATAAAAATCAATCCCGTCAAAAAGAGCATCAATTTCAATCGAAGCTTCAGTGCTCGATGAGAGTGTTCTTTTAGCCCTTTCTGCAGCGGTCCTCAGCCTCCTCAAAGCCCTTGGATTTGGTTTCAGGTCCTTTTTGTACTTTCTTTTAAACTCTTCGGCCAAATGATTTACGAGTCGACTGTCAAAATCCTCGCCTCCTAAGTGAGTGTCACCGGCTGTCGATTTCACTTCAAACAGAGAGCCCTCGTCTATAGTCAGGATCGAGACGTCAAAAGTACCTCCTCCTAGATCAAATATTAGTACATTCCTCTCGCCTTTTAAGTTTTTGTCCAATCCATAAGCCAAAGCAGCAGCAGTTGGCTCGTTGATGATCCGCAGTACATTGAGACCGGCAATCGCTCCTGCATCTTTGGTCGCTTGCCTCTGGGAATCATTGAAATATGCTGGGACGGTGATGACTGCATCTTTAACTGTTTTACCCAGATAAGCTTCTGCAGTTTCCTTCATTTTAACAAGGACCATCGAACTTATCTCCTCTGGGGCGAACTTTTTCGTCTCGCCTTTGAACTCCACCTGGATCTTGGGCTTGGAGGAATCGTTGACGACTTTAAAAGGCCAGTGCTTCATGTCGTCCTGAATTTTCGAGTCGTCAAATTTCCTCCCGATGAGCCTCTTGGCGTCGAAAACGGTGTTCTGGGGATTCATGGCGACTTGGTTTTTCGCCGCATCGCCGATGAGACGTTCAGTTTCCGTGAATGCAACATAACTCGGTGTCGTCCTGTTGCCTTGGTCGTTGGCGATGATCTCCACCTTTCCCTGTTGCCATACTCCAACGCAGGAATAAGTCGTTCCAAGATCAATTCCTATAGCAGACATTTTTCACTACAACACTATTTGGTTCCTCCGGGTATACTGACGGCAATAGTGGTACTGATTCATTTATAAAGTCGGACTGAAGGACGAGAATGGTCCACGGTGTCTGATTGGTCTCTAGAAACCCTGCAACCGCACTATAACTCTGTTCTTTTTTTGGCAAACGACCAAAAATATTTTTAAACGTTGTGTTAATCCTCTAGAACATTCTCTACGAGAAAATCAGATTTCTCAACCCAGATACCAAGTAGTTCACGATGTTAAAGTAGCATTTAGAAAAATATGACAGTTTTTGCACAATTGGACTGACCGCAACAATAGTTTTCTCTTCCCTGGATTTCCAACCAAACCGGCATATTTTGGATGGCAAAATCAAAATAGCTACGAACTTCTTGAGCCAGATTAAAAATACAGTACATACCAAACATGAATGTAGATCGGAAAACAATCTTGATTTTTGGTTGTACTTTGGTATTCGAGTGCAATCAACTTTAAAACGTTGTTCGTTTAATGTTCCTTCTGATTAATTTTATGTATTTGTTAATTTTCGTTGTGTCAAGTTGGGATTCGAAATAAGCGAACATCTTCCCGGATTAGACATTGTTTTAATCGTAGTTCGGTCATTTACGACCAGCCAAGTCTCGCTAATTGTACGAGTTTCACTCACACAAAAACAACTGAAGATGGTGACAAGCTAAAACTCGTCTGGCAAAGAAAAAAGCGAGACTGGGCGAACCAGAATGATCTGAAACGACCAAACTAGTCCAACAGCCCACATATCTCATGAAATCTCACTATTTATTTTTGAACCTACCAAATATGGTTATTGAGCTTTTTTTTAATAAAAGCAGCAAGCACCTAATTGATTAGTTTCATTTAACAAACCCACCACTGAAGAAGGCGAGAAGCCGAAACCCGTCTGACAGACCAAAATAGCGAGGATATCCGGACCAAGGTGATAGAAACGACTCATCTAGTCCAACACCCAACAGATTTCATGAAAAAATCAAAAAATTTATTTATGAACTTACAAAATTTTTCGGTTAATTATTTTTTGCAAAAGCAGTAAGTGATTAGTATTTTTATTCAACGACCACTCCAATGAAGTGGGCGAGAAACCGAATCACGTCTCATAAATAAAAGCAGCGAGGATAAGTGGACCTAGGTATCGACGACCAAACTACGTGTCCATCAGCCTGCATATTCAAAAAACGTTTCATTTTTCAAATATTAAGAGAAAATATTAAAAACTACTGGTCCAACACCCCCTAAAATATCATGAAGAAGTCTCACAATTTATTTTTGCAACTACAAAATATGGATCTTAAGCTATTTATTTTTATAAAAACTGTAAGCAGTTGATTTTTGATTAAATATACTCACCAACGAAGATGGCGAGAAGCCGAAACCCGTGACAGTCTAAATTAACCAGGGTATGCGGACTTTGATGGAAACCGACCAACCTACGAGTCGAACATCCCATAGAACTCATGAAGAAATCAAACTATTTTTGAACTTAGAAAATCTGGTTCTTGGGCTGCTGATTTTTATAAAAGCTCTTGATTATTTTCATTCAATAAAGTCTCAATGAAGATGATGAGAAGCCGAAAACCCTTCTGAGAGACCAAAGTAGCTCGGATATAGGCCAGGGTGATCGGAAACGTCCAAACTAGTCCAACACTCCACACATTTCATGAATAATTTATTTATTTTTATAAAAGAAGTACTATTTGATTATTTTCATTCAATAAACTTAACCTATGATAATGACGAGAAGCCGAAGCCCGTCTGACAGACCAAAGCAGTGGACATATGCGCCACAAGGATGATCGAAAACGACCAAGCTAGACGATCACCTGGCATGGGAGCCGCGGTAGCCGAGTGGGGCGTCAGACTCTCGACTAGTAGATCCCGCGGTCGTGGGTTCGATCCCCACCGTCTTGGCCTTTTTGTTGTACTGTTCCTAAGCCGTCGCCGGCTCTTTACAGTTTCTTAAAACGAAATAAAATAAATAATAATAATAAAATAAAGAAAGAAATCGCCCCATCGCCACGGGTCCCCCCGGGACACTGTTCCTTAAGCCTTTTGTCTCTTTACAGCGCCCGGGTGGTCGGTGCGAAAGGGCAACGGAAAATAAAAAATAAAAAAAATAATAATAGTAATAATAATAATAAAAAAGAAAGAAAATAAAATAAATAATAATAATAAAATAAAGAAAGAAATCGCCCTATCGCCACGGGTTCCCCCGGGGCACTTCCTTAAACCTTTTCGTCCCTTTACAGAGCCCGGGTGGTCGGTGCGAAAGGGCAACGGAAAATAAAAAATAACAAAATAAATAATAATAATAAAATAAAGAAAGAAATCGCCCCATCGCCACGAGTTCCCCCGGGTCCCCCCGGGACACTGTTCCTTAAGCCTTCTGTCTCTTTACAGCGCCCGGGTGGTCGGTGCGAAAGGGCAACGGAAAATAAAAAATAAAATAAATAATAATAGTAATAGCTGGTCTCTATCGAATGAGGCTAGCGTATACACAGCTGAACTTCATGCAATCAGAAGATCATTGAGCATTATAAAGGAATCGCCAAGAATTTGTAATGCCATTATTTGCTCTGATTCGAAAAGTAGTCTCGAAGCAATCAAAAATAATTTCTCGGTTGACCCTTACATCTTAGAAATTCACAAATATCTCTATGAAATCAGAACACTCAACAAACATGTGATATTTGTTTGGGTTCCTAGTCATGTCGGCATTTCTGGAAATGAAAAAGCTGATCAACAGGCAAGAAACGCTGCAAACCATCCACAAAGAACAGATCAATTTCCTCTCCGTCCAGATGATATAGTCGGTTATGTTAAAAACATTATCAAACGAAAGTGGGCGGCAAGATGGAATGTCTGTAGAGATAGTATGAAAGAAATTAAGCCAGTTGTACATAAGTGGCCAACTGAGGAACTTGAGAGAAAAGAACTTGTGATTCTCACTAGATTGCGAATAGGTCATATCAGGCTAATCCATAATAGGCTTTTAATAGGCAACAACCTTCCAACTTGTCCTCGATGTACGCGAAGTGGAGAACGCACCATTTTGACAGTAAAACATATTTTGGTCGACTGTCCCACTTTACAACCCTTTAGGCAAAGGCTCAACCTTTCGAGTGATTTACAGGAGTTACTGGGTCCCCAGTGTTTCTTTCGAAGAGCACTTTTCAGCTTTCTCAAATTTATTGGAATTTATAATGAGATTTAGGCCTTTTCCCAAATTGTTATACCATTGAATGCCTGCTAATGTTTGAATAAAAGTTGTGCGTGCAAGATTTCTTTTTTCAGAGGTTTTTGAGGCTGCCGGAGCGGAAAAATGAAATGGAAGAAAATACAAATTGCGGGGGAATAAACTGCAATGCCCAAAATCGCAATTTAAATAAGAAAAATAGCTCCCTCCAAAACAAAAAAAAAGAAGATAAAGATAAAGAAATGTTATTGTGTTTTGTTTCTTATTATTGTTATGTAGAATTAGTTTATGTATCATATTTGAATGGAAGAATAAAAGGATAAGGATGAGCCAATACTCATGCTGAGACTGTTGCTAGTCTGACTCCATTATTATTATTATTATTAGCCATACAAGCCTACGGGGAATTTTTAAATTATGGAACAAAAATTCACAATTCTAATTAAAAAAAGAAACAAATAAATTTTATAATTTTATTAAATTGTATGCAATTTAAAATGGGAATTTTGTATACATTTGGCCTTCCGAATTAAGAATTTTAAAAAGAAAAATTAAAGCTTGGATAAATAAGATTACGAGTGAATGTTTGGAGTCAGAGCTTTATAGCACTCAGAAGGGATATAGCTAACCTAAGATAGAAGGTTTGGATGTTAGGGCGTGAAATGACCTTAGCCGTTAAAACGCCCTTAAAAATTAATAATAATAATAATAGTAATAATAAAGAAATAAAATAAAATAAATAATAGTAATAAAATAAAGAAAGAAATCGCCCCATCGCCACGGGTCCCCCGGGACACTGTTCCTTAAACCTTTTCGGCTCTTTACAGCGCCCGGGTGGTCGGTGCGAAAGGGCAACGGAAAATAACAAATAAAAAAATAAAATAAATAAATAATAATAAAGAAAGAAAAGAAAATAAATAATAATAATAAAATAAAGAAAGAAATCCCCCCATCGCCACGGGTTCGATCCCCACCGTCGCCTCTGGACTTTTTCTGACGCCTAAGGGGACCGGTGCCGCAATTGAAAGAAAAGAAAAGAAATCACCCTGCATACCTCAAGAAGAAATGTCACGTGTCATTTTCCAAAAATTAAGAGAAATTATTGCTATCACGATTACACTTCTACGAGCTAGCTACAGAGATTTGGTAGGTTCGGAGTAAGGTATTTTTATTTCATAATTTCCTTTGCGTTAATAGCTGTTTAATATAAATGCTAGAAGAACAAAGACAAAAGTTGATAATCTAGTTTATTATCAATACATATTTTATTTAATTATTCATATTAATTATTGTTACTTATAGTTGAATTTATCCAACAGTTATACATTTTTCTTTTACATCTGATAGCAATCAACCCGAACATTTTTATAGAAATGAATTCGCTGCGCAACGGTAGTAAAACACAATAGCTATTGGAATCGCAATGTGATGCCACAATGCGGCCGGATGGGGATGACCATTCAGGAAATTCGAAGCAATTGGCTAAAAATAACAGAAAATATATTTAACAACCACAGTAATCAACATCAAACGACATAAGAGTAGCCTTGCAACCGTGTTAAGCCTAGTCTATACTATAAACGTGTTTCTTTGCTTTTGGCTTGTTTCAGGTCAAAATTGCCGCGATCAATGCTTCCCGTTTAAATTGAAAACAATGGTGTGTTTACTTGTTTGCAAACACAGTTCAGTCAACCATAATCCCCGAATTATGAGACATGAGGAATCAGTAAAAATATTAATAATTGAACAACAAGTAAACGCGCCATTTTTTCAGTTTAACGGTACGCATTGATCACAGCAATTTTTGATTTGAAAAAGGCCAAAAATAAAAATAAATCAATTTCTTACAGTTCTATAAACATAAATAGTTTAAGATCCATATTT